CAGGACTCAGGGGTCAGCAGTTACATCAGCGCTGCCAGTCCAGCCCCGAGCACCGGCTTCGGGCACAGCCTAGGGGTGAGTGCTCCCTGTCTGCCCTAGGGCTCAATACTCCCTGTTGGCTCTGTGGGGGGAGGGAGGTGGAGAGTGGCACGGCCAGGGGAAGGGGCTGTGTCTCCACAAGGTGATGGAAGTGAGCAGCAGTGGGCAGCCCCCTCAGCCCACAGCCTGGTTTCTGGTTAAGAAATGCCACCCAGTGCAGCATTGGCCGAGCCCCAGACCACAGGCAGCGAGTGCAGAATGCAGCAGCTCACTTGGAACCCACATCCCTGGTCTCTGCTGGGTCCTCCTGATCACCACTCAAGGTCCTGATTTCGGACCTTTCTCTGATCTGGCTCAGGCTTTCCAAGAGCCTGTCTTGGCCCTGACACACTGTGATGTGCAGGGTGATGTGCTCTTTAGACCTGCCACCTCCAACTGAAACCAGCTTTCCCAGCATCTGAGCCATGACTGAATTTGTTGTGGTAGTAATTCTCCTTCACTTTTCTTTTGTTAAGAGTGGGGTTTTAACTCTTTCTTCACAGGGTCCCTTGATTGCAACAGCTTTTACCAATGGGTATCACTGAAGCTGGGGACCAAGAAGGCAGGAGGTAAGAGAACTTTGAACAGGAGTGGGAAATAAGAGAGGTTCTGAGCTGGCCCTGTGCTTGGGCTCTTGGCTGAAGCTGTGGATGCTGCTGTGAGGCTCACCAGCCTGACCCAGTCCTGTGGCCAGCCTGGGGCTCTCTTCTGCACCAGAGGTTGGGTGCCTACCTAACGGTGCCCTGGCTGGGAGTGTTGTGGAGAGGTGACTTTGTGTCTGGGCAATAAGAGGAAGGAAATGGAGGAGGAAGAGGAAAGGGTTGGCCAGAGTCACAACTCAGTGGTGATCCTGAAAGATAAGCTTGGCTCACCTGTGTGGCTGGGGAAGCCTCTGCCATGCAGCTGGTTTTTCTCACTGCTGCTGAGACCAGGCTCTGAGGAGCAAGGTTTTTCATCTCCTGCCTGGGAAAAGGGTAGAAGGAAAATCTGATCAGTTCTGTTTCTGGTCCTCAGATGGGCCAGAGAGAGAACTGGTGAGTGGTTGTTGTTTGCTTTGCAAATGTAACTGGAGTGAGCTGGTTTAAAATAAAATTCAGAAAAAAACAACAACTAAGCAACAACCAGCTTTTAAAAAAGGAGGGCAGAAACTTGCAGGGAACAGTGTCCAGGCAGGAGCCCCATCCCTGTGCCAGCGAGGTGCAGAGCAAGTCTGTGTTGAGGCATGGTTTGGGTACCGAGTGTTTCCATCAGATCACACCGGAAGAAAACCCCAAGAGAAAAGCTGTGGTTGTTCTAGATCCTGTCCCTTCCCTCCCCTGCTGTCCCACAGATTCCCCAGTGACCTAACCGAGGACAGCAAGCGGCTGGAGGATCTGGTGAGCCTCGGGGGATGAGCCAAGGTTACCTTTCTCTTGAATCAAACTGCACACTGCCGGCCGGCTGCCAGGCTCCTGCCGCCCTGCCCCGATCTCTCCCTTTGACCAGACCACACTGGACTGAACCCGAGGAGATCATCTCGCTTTCTTACTAACCACCGACGGTTTACGCTTCCCCCCTCCCCGCCCCCAGCCCACTGATTCTTCTTTTATTTATTTTATTAGCTGTTAGTTTTATTTTTTTATTTTATTTTTTTATCTTTTTTTTTGGGGCTGCCCCTTCTTTTTGTTGTTTGCTCTTTCCCGAGCTAGTAGACATATTTTATGAATTGGCTTTGTGATTGTGTTAGGTAGGTTTCATTGAGGAGTATTTTTATTTGGCTTTGAAACTGTTTTGAATATTTTCAACTCTGTTGTTGTTGTCGTCAGTGTTTTTAAAGCACGGTATGTAACAAGAATGCAGTTCTGAAGGGAAGAAAGAGACACAGAGAGAGCAAAGGCTGAGAGGAACTGCTGTATTTCTATTTTTTTTAAAGAAACTGTTTTTAATTGTTTCTGTTTTGTAAATGTGAGGCTTTGAAAAGTGTGAAACTCCAAGGATCCGAAAACGTTGGACATCGCTATGGAACAAAACAAATGTATATTTTGCTAAGTGAAAAACACTATCCTTACAGCTGAAAGATTTTTTTTTTTTCCTAGGTTTAGTTTTACGTGGGGTTTTCTTTTTCCTCCTGTATAATATGTAAATATCGCGAGCTGAACCTGGCTGCCGCCTGCAGCCTGGCTCCAAGGAGCAGCTCCAGGTCCTGGACTTGGAGCCGCAGCGTGAGCAATACTCTCCAGCAGAATCCTGACAGGACTCCGTTCTTTTTTTGTACACCTTTTACTGTAAGATTTAAGATTTTAAGACCTCTGATGAGATGAAAGGGGGGTGGGGGGGGCGGGCGGGGGTGAAATGTACCGGCCATCGGCTGTTTTGCTGAGCGGGTTAAAGCTGCTTCCAATTGCTCGATGTACAGACTCCATTCCTGGGCTCCGTAGTGCCGGCTCTGGGCTGGCTTAGGGAAAGGGCTTTGCTGCCGTTGCTTGTCTTGGTTACTTTGAAAGGAATTCACTCTCCAAACATTATCGCTTGCGTCAAGATTTCCTGGGAAGGGGGATCCTCCTCCGGAGGCGAGGGTGTCGGAAGGGGTGTCAGCCGGGGAAGATTTGGGTGGTCGTTCTCTGAAGGGCAGGGTGCTGGGATGGGGATTCATTAACAGGGGAGAAAAGCATTAGGGTGGTGATTTTGGGGCGGGTTAAGGGCTTCTCAGGGATTATATGAATTATAGAATTGCAGCTTCCCGTTTGCTTTACTCTGTGTTCTGAAGACTGTGGGAATTTGTCCGTTGTCCTGTGCGGGGGTGATCCGGTCCCTTCTCCAGAACCTACTGGGGCTTCCCCTGGTGTGGTCCAGGCCCCTGCTAACCAGCACTCTGCTAGGGGAGGCCTCCAGCAGGAATACACGGGGCAGGTTTGGGTCTGGATTTCAGTGAACCAAAGACCTTGTTAAGGGGGGTGATTAAGCCTTTTATTAAGATGCAGCCAAACTCTTTTCCCAGGGAAATAACAGCTTCATCTTAAGTTTTAAAAATCATTCCCTCTTTTCCCCCAAACTGAGCCCCTGTAAGGGAGAGGGGCATTTAAGAAAGGACCGGGAGGGTCATGGCACCCACAGGGCCCTTTTCCATCTCTCCCGTTTGCTGGAGCTTGTCCTGACCTGGGCGATGCGTTTGGAGAGTTCTGTTTAGGTAAGAAGGTACTTAACAGATCAGTACTGAAAACACAAAGCAATAATTTTTGTTACTGAGACAAGAGTCTGTATGTCTGTTTTTTTAAATATTTCCTAATTAAAGAAGAGCTGCATTTTATTGGGTTTATTTTTATTCTATATACTTCAAATTTGGGTCTGCGGACAGCGCTTTCCTCCCTCTTGGTATACGCGCTGAACTGCTTCCGTGCCCCCTCCAGACATCCCGGGCCAGCTGTGCTGCTGCTGGGCTGTGAGTCACTCTCTGGCCACTGCTGCCACTGCCTGGAGGCTGGGGCTCCGGTTTCAGGGTGGGCATTTTTTTTAAAAGAAAAATAAAGCTGTGTTTTTAAGCCAGTAAGTTATTACACTCCAGTGTTTGTTCTCTCCACACCTGTAACCCTTTTTCCAGATTTCAGTTTTAAATTCCTAATAAATTATTTGAAAACTGTCCTCCTCTGTCATCATTTGGGGGTGGGAGGGTTTTCCAGTGGGAGAGGTTTCAGGTGAACTTGGACCTGGCAGGAGTCGCATCCTGCCATTAGGATAAAAGCCCCAGGCAGGGCTCTGACTCACTCTTCTGCTCCCACTGGCAGTGGCCCAGTTTATAATGTGAGGCAGGTCTAGGTTTAGTAGAGATTGTGTCTCTCCTCTGCATTACAGAGGTTTTGTGTAAGTATTTATAGGTTCAAAAAAAGGAGGAGATAATGTGGTGCTTAGAAGTTTGGCTCATGCCCTGGGTTCAATGACTATGGTGAGCCAAGTAAGCTAGATCTGAGAAAGTAAAATGTGGAGATGGGAAGTCTTTAACAGACAGTGCTACAAGAGAAAGGAGAATTCTATGTGTGAAATAGGGAACCCTGAGCAAGTCTAGGAAAAGCAGTCTTAAAAATAATTTAAGGTTCAAGTCTGTAAGTTGGAACCAGCTGTAAACTGGGATGTGCTCATGAGTGTACTGAGAACCAGCTTTGTATACAGCACAGGTTGGGGGAAACCAAACATAACATGGGTGGAAAAATCTTTACCCTGCTGGGATTTTTCTCACGAGGCACTCTTGTAATGTGCACATGCTTGCTTTCCCACACATGGTGATCCTCTTGTTGAATTAAAATGTATGAAAATCACCATGAGACATTTTTGATTTATGACTTGAAGAGGCCAGTTTTCTGGGAAACGTTAAGTAATACATCAAATACCAACAATTGCAGAAAAAGGAGCTGGAGTTTCATAGATAAGAGAACAGATAAATAATAATTCTAAAAAAAAGAGTAAAGGTGATCAAAGTATCAGATAAGAGAGGGAACACTTCAGTGGATATTGAAGGGAAAGTCAGCAGATTGATCTATCAACAAAAGATTAAATTATTTTTTCTGAGCTAATTGTGGTACGGACTGTCCTTTACGTCAGCCTTTAATGTTTGTCCAGTGCTCTGTCAGAACACTGAGAATATTCAATCTGTAACTCAGCATCTGTTTGCTGTAGGTAACCTAAGAGTGGGCAGCCCCAGAGAATTGTAGCACTCAAAGAGGTCAGAAATGTCAGAATGGGTTTGGTTGTTCAGCAGCATGTCTAGCTTTAACTATGGATGTATCACCATCCAATGGATACTGTGGGCACTCTGGCATATTTTCAGACCCTGTGAGGAGGAAAATGTCCTTGTCACCCCTTCTGGAACCTACTGACAGTTGTGGAGCCCAAAGTTTCCTGTGTAAACACTGTGCTATATTAGGTTGTTGTGGAAAGGTGGGCTTTGCCTCTTCCTCTGCTCTTAAAAACTGAAGACTTGTTTGGTGCTTTGGAAATAAATGCAGACTCAGACTACCAAGTCTAGGATCTGTATCTTGAGTGTGTAAAAATGCCAAACTTGTCACCTTGAAAACGCCAGAGCCTCTGGGGTCTAAATAGAGAGTGCAGTGTTTTGGACTTACCCCTGGTTGATTCCAGGAAGCTTTTTCTTACCCATTTCTTGAACTTCATTCAGGGTTCCCAACTCACCTCATCCCTTGGCATAAGAGAACCAAAGGGCCTAACTGGGTTCTGCATTGGTGCTGGAGAAGGACAAACTGCTCTCTCTAAGGTAATGAAGTCTGCTGTGTATGTTGACACTTCTGAGCCCAGTTCATTTCCAGTGTAAATCCCTTAAGGCTACATAAAAACAGACACTACTCCTTGTTAACTCAGATACAGACACTTTCCAGGTCACTTGGCTCCTGTTTCTTGCCTAGCAGTACCTCCTTCTCCTCTGTGGTTTTGAAGTAAAGAACAGCTCGAATTTTTTTTTGGTTCAGCTCATGCCAAATGGTTATTTGAGGTGAGTGGACAACTTGAACCTTATTCTCTGAATTAGGCCAGGAGAATCCATGGAGAGACACATGATTAACAATAAGTGGGATACTATAAAAAGAGGATGCAGGTATTAGTGACAGGTGGTTATTACTGTGCCAGCAATTTCCAACTTAACTACCATACTGCTACTATTTTTCAGCAGAGGGGCCTTAAGAACATCCAGGTCTTTCAGGCTGACTTCTAATAGCATCACTACAAGAATTTAATAGCAAAAATTTAGAGAGCAAATATTTGCCTTCCCAGCTTCCATAGAGTTCACTCAATTGGCCTTCAATTGGTCACGCCACAACCTCCCACTCACAGTCTCCGATGGAAGAAGTCTACATTTAGTAATGTAAATACTGGCTGGTTTATCTCATACCCATGTCAAGGTGAGCTTGTCGTATAAAGAGACACCAATTCCCTTTATCACCAGTCTCTCTGTCAAGTCCTGCAAGAATGAAGTTCCTGACCCTGCTTTTCCTGTTGTCGGGTGCGTAGGTGCCCTCGCCCCCGGACTTGGTAACAGTCAGCCTGACTCTAACCTCTGTGTCTCTCCTCAGTGGGCGCAGCCAGCGCTGATGTCTCTCCCCGGGCCATGTGGCTGTTCCGCAAGTTGATCAAGTGCACCCTGCCAGACAGCCACCCGCTGCTGGACTTCAACGGCTACGGCTGCTACTGCGGCTTGGGAGGCAGCGGGACTCCAGTTGATGAGCTCGACAGGTTTATAACACCCTGCTTTTACAAACTTCTTTGCTTGCTTGTGCTTTCCTGGTTCTGCACCCCAGCTTTGTCTCAGCTGGCCCTGCCTATAAACACTCACAAACCCTCCAGCTGCTGTGAACGAAGCTTCCTCTCACAGATCGATTCAAAGGAACAAGGATGTGCAGTATCACACCTCAGTGCCTTATTACTAAGATAAAATATAATCCCAGCAACTCTCTTTTCCTTTCTATGGCAGCACAGCACGCTCATTCCAGCATTTTTTCCAGCAGTGTTGTGCCAGCAGCCTGGGTGCAGCTCTGCACACTCTGCCCAGTGCACAGCCATCAACACATGCAGGGCTGAGCTGGAAAATGCTGGGAAACGGCTTGGACAGTTTAGAGATCACACAAGTCTGACAGCCAAGACACCATGCTTTGTGTTGGCTGTGAGCTCTCAGCACCACTGAGGGGGTGTATAGGGTAAACACTGGCTTTTGCTTTCTCTGTGCCCAATAGACAATTGAGATCATCCCCAGTAGGTCCATGTGTACCACACACCTCTCGGACCATGAGCTGGCACAGCCGTGTCCCTTTGGGGCTGCTCTCTTGTCACTGGGTATCTTTTTGATTTTGGGGGTTTTTTTTGTTCAGTGCCTTGTCAAAGTAACCATAGTATATTTGTGTGTCTTACAGGTCAGCTGTATTTCTGGTAGTTTCTGACCTTTTTCTCCTTGTTTCCAGGTGCTGCCAGGTACATGATAACTGCTACGGACAGGCAAAGGAATTGGACTCATGCAGATTCCTCCTGGACAACCCCTACACCAAGTCCTACAAGTACAGCTGCTCCAACAGGGAGATTACATGTAGCAGTACGTCCACTTCCACATGACTCCAAATGTTCTCCATTCTCTCTTTGGAAGGAACAGGGCTCAGTGTTACACTCACACTTCTGTGGCAGGAAGACGGGGGGCTGGTTGTCAGAAAAGGCACACCTCACACAGGCACTGGAGCGAATACTCTCCATATAGCCCACAATTTAAAGTTTATGAAGATATATGGTATCACAGGGAAGCCTGTCTCCTCTTCAGGGGACTGAGTCCCTGTGGTACTTTCCTGGGAACCCTTTTAATGGCAGTACCCAAGAGATCAGCGTGTTAACTGGGCAGTGTAACACGGCTTTTGCCGGACACCTCCGATGAACGGTGAAACCTTTATAGGGCTCTGGAACCGAGGTAAAGAGCAGAGAGGCCGGCAAACAGCACGGCAGGAGGGGAGGGAGGAAGGGGCCAGAGATGGCCGGGCTGGAGCACACAGCTTTCGATGCAGAGGGTTTAGTGGGGAGAATCCTGTGCACCCCAAAACGATGGCAGCAGTGAAACGGGTACACCCTGACAGCAGAAATGCCAGCCTGAGCCACCGCAGTGCCTGGCGAAGGAGCTGCGGGGTCTGAGCGCTCCTCTCTCTCTCCTCCAGGCGCGAACGACGAGTGCTCCGCGTTCATCTGCAACTGCGACCGCACCGCTGCCATGTGCTTCGCCAGCGCGCCCTACAACTCCGAATACAAGGATCTGAATAAAAACAAATACTGCAAATAGTCTCCCTCCTGCCCCTCAGGGCGGCCGCAGGACTTAAAAACCACCTCAATAAACGCCTTACAACAACCCCCTGCCTCCCACCGCGCAGCGATGACACAGGGCCGGGAGGAAGGGAGGGGCGGGGCATGAGGGGAGGTGAGGAGGCCCCGCCCCCTCTGCCCACGGCTCGCTGGGGCGCGCGCGGCGCCCCCGCCTTCGCTGATTGGCCCTTGGAAGCGGCGGGGGCGGGGCGGGGCGCGCGAGACCGCGAGCAGGTGCGTCCCGCGTGCAGCCTCGCCCCGCCCCTCAGGTACCCGCGGGCTGAGGGCGGGGCTGTGGCTCCGCGGTGCGACTGTCCTGTTTCCCCCACGCTCGAGGGACTCCTCAGGGCGACCCTCTTGCACTCCTTCACACTCCAGGGGCTCCTCAGGGCGACCCTCCTGCACTCCTTCACACTCCAGGGGCTCCTCAGGGCGACCCTCCTGCACTCCTTCACGTTCCAGGAGCGCCTCGGGGCACCCTTCCCACTCTCTGTCACCCTCCCGGAGCTCCTCAGGGCGACCCTCCTGCCCTTCCGGGGCTCCTCAGGGCGACCCTGCCTCCCTCACCGTCCTGAGGGCTCCTCAGGGCACCTCTCCTGCCCTCGCAGGGCTCCTCTGGGTGACCCTCACGCCCTCCCTCACCCTCTCGGGGTCTCCTCAGGGCGACCTTCCCACACTCCCTCACGCTCCAAGGGCTCCTCAGGGCGACCTTCCCACACTCCCTCACGCTCCAGGGGCTCCTCAGGGCGACCCTCCCGTCCTCCCTCCCTCCCTCCCTTCCTCCCTCCTACTCCAGGGGCTCCCCAGCGCACCTCTCCCGCCCTCACGGGGCTCGTCTGGGCGTCCTTCCCGCCCCCTCACCCTGGCGCCGGGCTGCCCACGCGGTAGCCACAGCACAGCTGCTCCCCGGGGCACGGCTGCGTGAGGGGATTGAGCTGCTTGGCCGCTCTCTGCTCTGAGGGAGCCCTTCCACTGCCCGGCGCTGTTCCCGGTCAGGAGCTGCAGGATAGGAGGTAATGTTGGCTTGGAACGCAGGGAGCCCCTCTGAGGGATGGTATCTGCCCCCGTTTTCCAGCCCTGCCAAGGTCCTCTGCCAAAGCCGCCCCCTGCCCTTGGTACCAGTTCTGCTGGCAGAGGCTTTAGGGAGGTGTGAATGAGCTCCTGGGGCAGGGGCTGCTCACTCCTGTTCCTCACCGGAATGAACTGTACCCAAACATGGAGCAGAACCCAAGGATCTGCAAGAGGGCTCTGAGAAACTGGAAACAGATGGAGAAGGAAGAAGCTGGCTTGATATGTTGTTGGAAGGTACTTGTTGGAAGGCCTTCCTATTGAAGGTCACTGGATCTTTGAGGACATTAGCATGATAATGAGATAGGATAGTAAATTGCATTTTGGTTGTTTGTTTTTTTTTTTTAATGAAAGAAAAAAGGGAGTGTGTGGCAGTGAGATACTCCATCTTATGGCACATCAAGTCCTAGTTTTGTAGCAGTATTTGTTGCTTATTTTTCCTTGGGTGTTTGTGTACGTGAATTTTCTGGAAACTTTGAGTACTTGGGGTCCTCCAAAGAAATCCTGAGGATCCTGGATGTGCTCCCAAGATGTGGCCGAGATGAATCATTCCTAGAGCTGGAAGTGCAAGATGTGATCTCCTGTGCTCACGCACTAGCTCTGATTCTCTGAAATTATTTTTTGTAGAACAGTAAAGCTCCTAAGTAAATGTTACTGAAATCCCTTTGTAGTGATAAATTATAAACCCTGTTGTAGAGAAAAAAAGTAAAATACCATCACTATCTAGAAGGAACACTGTACTTTTGAGCTGTATCATCACAAGCAGAGAAGATTGCTGGGATGCAGTTGGAAGCATTTCAGAACCTGTTGGTATAAATTTGGCCTGTAAAAGGAACTCTCTAGATTTGAGGTGAGCAGTGTATCTACTCCTGGCATCCAGCATTTGGGGCACACTAGCATTCCATAGATAAACTCAGTGGATAAATGAAGGCTCCATTTCAATTTATATCCATCCTACTCTGTACAGATTTGATAAGCCTACACTTATGTTTAGTCCCTTGATCATGCCTCTCATTTCCATGCTGCTTTGGTGGTGTGAAAGACCTAACAGTAAATTCAAACATCCTCCATCCATAGGGAACCTTCCCACAAAATGTAACGTGTCAGGCCCTAATGAACAGCACAGGTGGGGAGGCTGAAGGGGTTCTGCTAATTAGGGCTTTGAGGAATGTTGTGGGAAGAGCAGGGCCAGTGATTGCTTGAACTGACTCACTGCCAGTGTATGGAGAGTACAAGGTGTGTGTGAAGATCTTCTGCCATGACAGCCTGTATTTCTGTTCCAAAACAGAAAGTACCTGAAACACAAGGTGTCCCTGTGCTCAGCAAGCTGGGGAGCTCTGAGGCCCCTCACAGCACTGCAGCTGGGACATGAGATGCTGGAGGGACAGCAGCTCTGTGGGCTCACACTGCAGAAGTGAAATCTCAGCCTCTTATCTTCCTTTTCTCTATTGTTGTTTTCTAGGCCAAGATTTTTCAGTCTCTGCAGGGAGAGTTGAATTACTCTTAACTATATGGGCATTGCAGAGATGAAAGGGAAAGTGCTCCAGCTGAGGTGAGACATGCAGAGAGCAAACAACTGTGCTCGTGGTAATGATCCTGTGTCAGTTCCTATTTGGGCCTGAGACCAATACAAGACATTTGTACTGTTGGTCTTCCTCTCAGGCTCAGCTTTTCTTCTTCCCTGCCATTGTCTAGTTAGTGGTGCAGAAGGTGGTACTTGGGTATCTTTCCCTAGTGGGAAAGGAGAGGACAGAATTGCAGGTGTCTGGAACAGTCTTTCACCTTCCTGCTGCAAAGGCTGGGAAAGGGTGACATCCAAGGCAGTTATGGGAGAAGAAGCACACTGTAGAAGGTAGATTTGGGTCATTTTCCAGAAGTCATGAACAAGCAGGTGTGTCAGTAGGAGCAATGTGACTGTAAGATGTGGGAGGCTGCACTTACACCACAGCCACCCAGCCCTCCAGGCCATCTGCAGTCTGTGTTGCCCTCACTGGAGCTCAGTGTGTGAAATACCTCTCTCAGGCTGCTGGGCTCCATTACAGTTTGCTCTGAGAATTTGCCCAGAAAAAAAGACAAGATTTGCCAAATAGGAAGTGGCTTTTATTTGCTTTGGGTAACTCCAACCTCACTTTCAGAGGAGCAGCAGAAAAATCCATTATAAGGTACTCTCAGCTCCTCTATCCAAACCTCAGGAGGAACAGCTGTAAGTAAAAGGGAAGAGCATAAGCTGTTGATTCAGCTAATTTAATGGTAAAAAAACTGTCCTTGTGCTGTTATCTGATGTGTACATTTGGCACAGGTGCACAGAGCTATGACTGCAAGCCATGATCTAAAATACTGGTGGACTGGTCTAAAAACTATGAGCCAGAAAAGGTGGGAGAGGGTTGAATCATGTGGAGGATGAGACTGACTTAAAGCAGACAGCATAGATAGAAAGGATCTGTGAGAACACTGCTCAGGCTCTGTAACACTTCTTTTCCCATAGTTTTAGCCCGTTACACAAAGATTATGGCCCTTTTGTTTTAGCTTTCAGGAACAACATCTCTCCCCCTTTTTAAACCCTCCTCCCTTGCAAATTCTGCATTGTCTGAGAGAAGGAAGCTGAACACTAGGTCAGTTATGTTACTGAGTTTGTTGTTTTCCCACAGCATGGCTTATTCACATCCTATAGTGCTCAGCCCTGGAGGTTTCTGTAACTCCCTCCAGGCTGGTGATGACATCAGTAAGCTGAGAAACACAAACTTCTCAGGATAGGCCTTTGCTAGCTGCCTGCAAAGACACAGTTATGTTCTGATAGCTGTTATCTCTCTGCATTGCATCTTCCCACACAAACAGCCCCCAAGGAGTGACAGGGGAAGGTGTCAGTCAGCATTAGAGTGATGCAGATCTGGCTTTTGGTGCAGGATCTTTAGGTGCTCTCAGGCATTTCTCAGTTGAGTGAACTTCTCAGTGGTGTCTTGGGGAACATGTTAAGAGCTGCAATGCTCTGATCCTGCTCTAAAAGAAGTCAACTTTAGTAGTACTAGATCAGCCTAGCAGGAAAAAAAAAAAGGAACTCCTTCATCTCAGCCTCATGTATTTGCTGTAGATATGCTCATTAACATATAGTAATAAACTATGGACATGAAGTCTACTGTAATGTTCGTTTATTGTAAGTCATTGTCTCAGGGACTTAAAAGTATAATCCCTAGAGGGTCAGGGTAATATGACTCATCTGTCAGTAATGCTGAAGAGACACCCTGACTCCTCTCCCACAGGCTCAGCTGCAGGACTGGAGAAGAGGCAGGGATAGATGTGGGAGGTTTAGTTACCTGTCACATAGCTAATTCCAAGTCTTCACTTGAAATGTTTTCTTGTTTTAGATGTCTCAGTAATGCTCCCACACCATCTCAAAATGCTGGCTCTACTGGCAGTAAACCTGCAGCCTCTGTTTTTGACACACCAGTGTCACAGGTGGGGCAGAAGATGATGCAGATGGTGAGAAACTCAGTCCCAGCTCCTCTGCTAAGGAGGCATCATTGCCTCTTCTTACATGGAAAAACCTATGCAAATAAATTCCCTGTGTGTGGAGACTCTGTTATACTTTAGCCATGATTTCTGCAAAAGCCTTGATTAGCAGGACAGCTGTACTATGGACAGGACAGGTAAATATGGAGTGACATCTGTGAGCTTTCTTCACTGCCAAATAGCAGATACCTGACTTGCTGCAAAGTGGGGTCTCCATTAAATGAGAGCAGAACGCAGGTGGGGGTCCTGAGCTGATCTCACTTGGTTTCTAAGTGAAGCTGTCTCTCCTCTGACCCATAACAGCCAAATCTTGAAATGCATTAAGCATCTTAATGCCTTCTACCTTCTCCAGAAATTGGGTGCCTATGTATCCCTTATTTTCTGTGCTTTACTTGCTCCTGCCTGGCAGGGATTTGAATTAACAACAAAGCAAAAAAGAACTTTGTGTCACATGGTCAGTTGTCCTTGCTTTGCTACTTGACCTTTTAGCAGATGACTCTGTCATCCTTGTTTCCAACTGCTTGTTACAGTTCTTGTCAAAATATTAGTACAGGACATGTTATTTGCAGAGTAGGAGGGGGCATTTGTAAAGCCCCAACAATTAATATCCCTCATAGCCAGAAGGGAAGTGGTAGATTCATGCAGAAGGTCAAGTAAAAAATTTAGTGTTCTAGTTTGTGCAAGGTTCTGTCTTTTACTCTGTAAAAGGTTTGATATGGCTTACAATACCATCCTCAGGATCAACAAAAATGGTTACCCAGTAGTGATGGATCTCCTGTTAGGAGTGTGGAAATTGCATCTATTAATAGCTTGAGATTAGCTCCTGAGGGAGACCTATTGTACAGATTTAATTGTATTTCCCTCTTAATTCATCAGCTGCTAGTAATTACATTCTGCATTTTTGCAATGGAAAAAATGGATCTAAACTGGCTATTGAGAGTGTGCTTAAATAAATCATAGGAGGTAGAGAAAATTACAATGCAAACAGTATCAATCTTGTAAACAATTTCAATTCACTACTTAGCTATTCATTAATTAAATAACATACTCAGAAAACGCATTCTGGAAAATGTAGCAGCCCCTCTGAAAGCAGTGCTGGTCAGATTAGCTTAAAGTAACTCCTCTGGCATTTCAACAATATTTAATTTTTAAAGGGTTCAAATAGGAAACAGTTTAGCTTGTTAACTGACAGTTTAGGGAAATGCTGACTTCCCGTCCTTGCTGGAAGATGTCAGCCTTGTAGTCTGTGCTTCTAAATAATCTCTTACAAGAGCAGTGTTTTTGTTCAGCTTCTATTTTAAATCTTTTCTTTAAATGACAACTGCACTTCCTCTTGCCTCCTTTTTCTAGTGACGTTGGATCCTCCAGCAGATGCCCAGGTTTCCCACATCGCCCTCCTGTGCTGTAGCCTCAAGTTACTCAGTCAAAATCCCTCTCCCTCATTCTCCTCTGGGGACAATTATAATTGAGGTATTTTGTCCTCAGTTACAGCAGTCCGATTATCCTGTCCCAGTGAATGAAAAGGCACTGTTTACCACGGCAAGGTAAGGCAGAAAAGTGGTTTTTTTCATCATCATCCTGTTTCCTGATGGTTTCAATGGAGAGAACTGGCGAGGCCGACACGCGTGAGGCCTGCTGCCCTCTCCTGGTGTCCTCAGCGGCCGTGCACCGGATCTCACAGCTGCCTCCTAGATGGAGGTTTTCCCCTTTCTGAGATGATGATTCCTGCAGGAGTGGAAGGAAGAAGCTGCTTTATCGATGGAATTGATTACTTCAAACGGCAGTGTCTGCTTAGGATTAGCTGGACCAATTCAACCAGGAAGAGCAAAGGCAACAGTGTGATCAGGTTCTCTGGAACTACAGATGATCCCCTGTAGTTTTCTCACACTGACAAATGGAATTCAACACTGCTGGGTCTTCTGGCTACTCCTGCTCAGTTTTCTGGGAGCATTAGCACTTAGTATGCTTTTTGTTTATGATCATGGGAAACAGTATCGTGGCCCATCAGAGCTTAACTGTTACAGACGAAAACTCCCAGCCACGTTTTGATGCACGCTGTGGCAACACCTTTTTAGTCAGCACATCTCAGCCTCAGCATTTGCCAGGAACCCATCTTCTTACCCTGTGACTGACCAGGGAAGGTACTCACCTTGCAGAAATAACTTTACTCCTGACAGCTACTGGAGCTCAGCGGGTTGGGTCCTGTGCAACAATCAAAGGCAGCAGCTCCCCACAGCGGGAATTCAGTTTTAAGGATGCAAAGTGATCTAACCTTGTGGGCCCAATGTTAAGGACTGCAATTGGCAGCTTCTTCTCCCGGGCAGCAAGAGCAAACCTGTAACCAGAGTACACCTGCAGGAATACCAGAAGACAAAATTACTGGCAGCTTAGGCAAGGGAAGAGCTACGGAAAGGAGTAAGGAAAGGAAAAGAGTTGCTGTTGGCAGCAGGAAAAGGGGCTGTACATACAGGGTTCAGGTAGGAAATGTTTTCGTTGTGGAGCGCACAGAAAAGAACAGCTTTTAACCTCTGTCAGTGAAGGATTTGAAATTTCATAGAAACTGAAACTTCATAGCCTGTGGAAGGAAAACATCCTTGTCTTTTAGTAAATCTCTGCAGCAGCTTTTATTAGTTATCATAGGTTCTTAAATGCTGCACTTTGATGGTTCTCACATGGCCCAGCTTAGGTGGTACAAGAACAAACCTAAGGCATTTCAATCATTCCTGTACAAAGGATTATAAGCTTAAGAAGTGCAAGCTCAAGGAATTTGTCTCCAGTATCCTGAAGCCAAGAGAATCACAATCAGGCAGCCTTGGTTTTATCTCATTCTGGGAGGTGTTAGAGTAGGGGATTTTAATGTAATAGAACTTGTTCCTGAAAAAATTTCTCTTATACAAACACTATTACAAAATGGTTTAATTGTTTAATTACCTGTTGTTTAATTACCTTACCTTATCTATAAGAGGCTAATGGAGAAAACACACTGTGACACAAAGGACAATCCTAAGCAGTAAGGAAAGGTATTTCAGCTCTCTTTTTGAGAATTTAATAAGGAATTAGACGTCCTAAAATCTGAAATTTCACACAGTGCGCCACGGGGCCTAAAAAGCTGCCAAGGCTAAAAATTTCAAGCAAAAAAAAAAAAAAAGTGAGGACTGAATTGTGCCAGGTTATCTTGGGTTTGTGGGCAACTGTGAACCTACAGTGTCCTGATGGAGGAGGCAGCAGGGAGAGCTCTGACTGGAGTTATTTATAGCAGCACAAAGTGACAGGGAAGCCCAAACAAGTAACCTGTGGAGCCAGATTCCAACCACAGTAAAAATAAAATACAAAGAAGCTCTGCAAAGGCTGATCTGTTCCACAAGCCATTTGTAGTCCTACACTGTGGAAGCCAGGATTGCTGCAGGCAGAGTAGCAGGAATGCAGTGTGGGAGGCAGACCTGCTTACCTGCATGGAGGATCCTGCCACCAGCATGGAGTCTGATTCCGCCAGGCGCTGGTGCACAAAAGTCACTTTTTCCTGGCTCACCGTGTCTCCAAAGAATGTCACGTCAGGCTTCAGGATTCCACCACATTTACGGCAGGCCGGGACCTGGAAACTGCGCACCTGCTCATCCGTCAGGAAGACATCCCCATCTGGAGCCACGCCAAACGCCTCCGCTTTCCAGGTAGGATTCAGAGCCTCAAAGTGCTCCTGGAGCTCAGAGCGCAAGATTCGGTCTCCACAGGCCAAGCAGAAAACCCTGAAATTCAGAGCAAAGTCTTAATGGAGAGTTTCATGTCAGCTGAAGATCTGGAGCCTTTAACTTGTTCCTTAGGTGGCCTGTCATAATTGTCCATATTAATTTACCAAATAGTACAGGTCAAGGAGCTGTCTTTCTACCTCCAACTGTTGCTTTGTAGGAATGCTCTAGAGGAAGTGCTTTGAACCCTGTGCATCCTCTCTCCCAGTTCAGGCTGTGCTTTTTCATCTGGAAACCTGGGTAATCCCAGCCAGGCTGTGATGGCCCTTCTCCAGTCCACTCATGCTGTGCAATTCTGGCACTATCCACTCTGCTTAGCCCTGGTGGATAATCCTTGTATCCTCAGGAACCCCTCGTCCTCTTCTCTAAGAGGACATTTGCTGTACCAAGGAAAGGGGAAATTGATGCAGGCTTCAAGGGAAATGATCCAAATAATGCTCTGAAAAAACAGAGTGGTGGTCATGTTTCTTAAATACTGCGCTGTGAACAGCACTGGTTTGTGATCTTTTTCTCCGCCCCAGCACCACCTTTAAGCACATCATCTCCAGGAGCACAGCATGGACGTTTTGCCTCGTTTCTCAGCAGGTGACACGGCAGCAGCCTGTCAGTCACCCCAAAGGAGGGGCTGGAGCACTGCCCCCCTCCCCGTGCCAGCAGCGGTACCTGTGAGTGCAGCCGTGCAGTTCCGTCATGCGCTGGCTCCCGGCCTTGGTGTGAAGGGCATCCACGTTCTGGGTCACCAGCCAGTGCAGCTTCCCCAGCTTCTCCCAGTCCCTCAGTACCAGGTGTGCTGTGTTTGGCTGGTGGGAGGAGAACTGGGGCCAGCCCACAAAGTTCCTTGCCCAGTAGCGCTGCCGGGCGCTGGCACTGCGAACGAACTCGGCGTGCTGGACAGGCCGTCTGTCTGTCCTGGCGTAGAGCCCGACACCTTCGGAGCGGTAATCTGGGATCCCCGACTCGGTCGAGATTCCAGCTCCAGTCATTACAAACAGCCTCTTGGAGTTAGAAACAAAGTGCTGCAGCTCCTCTACTTCCGCGGGATCTGGGGGAAGACAGGCTGGCACAAAAGTCAAGTTTGGAGAGGCTCTGGATACAGAATGGGATCTGAAATGATGGAATCTGATGGCTCTGAAAACTCCAGACAACTTCCTGGCAGAGAACATGTTCAGCTAAAAGGCAAGAACAGAACACAAGGAAGGTAAAAGAAAGCAAAGAGCATGACCTTAATGCCATTTTCTTGACATTCTCTGGAAAATGATGCTCATAAGTACTTTTTGCTCTTTTTTCTGTTTAGCAAGGAAACAAACTATTTGCAAAACACTAACTAAAGGCCACCATCCGAGGACAGCACTCGGATATCCCTTTGACAGATGGCAACACTGAGCACTGCCCAAGGTACAAGGACAAAGTTAACAGCCTTGACTTGTAGGGTTCCTGCTCTTCTATCCTGGTGTGAAGGACGGCTGCCTAAGAGGAGTTGTAAAGAGCCCAGAAAGACCTGAGCATGCAAAGTCTTTCCCAGGTATGTGCAGGAAATGGCAGGAAGGCCAAGCCCCCCACCCCAGAGGCACTGGCTGTTTCCTCCCCAGAAGAGACCCTTGCTCTGCTTTTTTAACACTCCGCCTGCTCCAAATCAGTGCTTTCTACCCCATCCTTAACATGTGTTGTGGGAAGGGAAAGAAAAACAACCTTGAAGTGTTGGGTTTTTTCCAGGACAAAGGCCTTGACTGGAGTTACTCCTTTGAGGTGTGTTTTGGTTTGTTTCTCGATTTTGTTTGTTTTGTTTTGTTTTGTTTTGTTTTTCACAAAAGGCCTAGTGCAGAACAGGCCTTGAAATGGGACAGGAGATTATTAGGACACTCTCTAAATGCCTCTGACATCTCCTGTTCTGTGGGTGCCACCTCTCCAGAGTCAGTGGAAAGATGAAGGGGTACTGCTTTGCTTCTCCAGCACAAACAGGGGCTGAGAAAGAAGGGATCACCCAAATGGGTGTGGGGCAGAAACAACTGCCTGGCAGGTAAGAATAGAACTGACACCCTGCTTAAAGGGAGGAACAGCATTCCCTGCTAGGGACAGGCAGGATGGCTTTGCTGTTAAGTAGCCTGGAATTGTGTGCAGGATCTGTTGAGACAGCAGTGGATTGGTTTGGATTTTGATTTTGTTTGGGCTTTTTAGCAGTCTGCAGTTCTTTCTCCGTTTCATTATTTTGAAACTATTTTTTCTGGGCCTCTCTACGGTTTTGGATACAAAGTACAAAAAGGTTTGAAAGTGACAGTACTGAGAATTGATTGTTTGGTATTTTTGCCTCCCACCATCTCCCTTGCCAAGGGGGCTTGTACAAGATGTGGGAGGTGGAGGAAGGGCTTTACTAATAAAAGGGCATGATCTCTAAAAGCTGATTGCAACAGGCCAGATTACCTGGTACATCTAAGTGGCCTTGCCTCAAGCCTCCAGCTCCCCTCAAGTAAGAGCTGGTGCTCTTAAAGTAAATGGAGCAATATTTAAATACATTTAAAGCCTGGATGTTCAGCTGTAAGTATCATGACATTTAATAGATGCTAGTGGCAAAGATTTGTCTCAGTTAATCTCCAGTTCTCAAGGCTTTGCATAATCATCAGTTGAATTACAGGGAAGATTGGACTGCCTCCCTAGTCTGTATTGCTTTTTAAATCTAAGCAGTGGATTCTGTTTGCAATGATTTTTGCCTTGTTTTGCTGTTTAGCAGGAGTTGTGTTGGGCATTCCCTCCGAAGAGGTTTAATTTCCCATATGAATTAATTAGAAGGGACAAAGTCTCCCAATAAACTAATTTGCTCCGAGAATAACTTCTGTCATGATGCTCCCCAAAGGCTGTTAAGCCAGTTTGACGGTAATTAAATTGCTTTAACTGATGAAAACTCTTCATTCCTGCCTGTTATCATCAAAATATCTCTCAGAAGGAAATGTTCAGAGAGGAAATGAAATAGAAATGTAATAGGGGTTGGCCCACAGGAGAGAGAAGGCAAAGAAAGCAGATACATTTGAGAGCTGCTATGAACCAGAGAAGGACTGTGGAGGAGAGAAAGTTATGAAGGACAGAATATTTCCTGTCAAATGCAAAGCTGCTTTAAAAATCAACGTTCTCAGATTAAAAAAATAACTACTGTACATATTAAGTGAAACTCTTTAAACGTACCTACGGAAAGCTGAGGCTTGAGGGTTTTTTTAAAGCACAGCCAAGATGCTCCACAGAAAAAGATCAGGCAAGGTTAAGGCAGAAAATAAACAGGATTCTACAAACGGTTACAGGCCAGAAATCCAGAGGGACTCCCATGTCATCCCGGTCTCTTGTGTTGTGATAACAGGGGGATGCGGGGTAACAGCCGAACTAAACCCGGCTAATGAAATAAGAGGGATACAGTGAATAATGCCTGGAAACTCACCTTTCATTGCCGCCGTGCCCGACCGCGGAAGGAAAGGGCTGACTGCCGGAAGAGGAGCTCTCTGGGAAATGTAGTTCAGGGGGAAATTAAGCCCTAAGCACAAAGACTACAGTTCCCATGCTTCAAAGAAA